GTATTTTTCTACTCATGTGTTTATATAACATGCATACATTTATTAAAAGTACATATAGTATATATAATTTTAACATTTATGTTATATGTAATTTTTACATATATGCATATATATAATTTTCTAACAAAAATGAAATCACACTTTTATATAGCATTTTGCATCTTTTCATGTTTAGTTCCATGATTTTCCGGTTTAAAATCATCAACCAGCCCAGGCTGACACATTGTATCTGGTTTTGTACCTTAGAACAGAGACAGAATAAAGTGAATATTATAATAAATCTTAATATATCCATCACTCCATTTCAGAAGAGCAAAGTAGAAGATTTCAAAGTATGTGTCCAGGATAAGATAAAAAGCAAATTTCAAAATAATATTTGAGTTTCCAAACTTACAAAATTTTTATGAATAAAAGTATTTTTCTAAATTAAGAGAAGCACATAGAAGAAGCTTGGAATCGATCATGACCTGAATATAACTTCCTACATTTTCTACTCACATCTCTAATTGCAACCTTGGGGACAATTAGTTCTAAAAACTCCTTGATCTATTGATCACTTCCCTATGACATTGCTGAAATCTCCCATAGACCAAAGAATATTGTCCGATGTCACTTAAAGCTCTTGTTCATGAACAGTAAAGTGTACTGGAGATCAAACAGTGTTTGTCTTTACATTCTCCTGTATACTTGGATGTTGCCAAAAATATTTTATTATTTAGAATTTTTTATTTGCTTTTTAAGGTCAGAGGTTTTGTTTCTACACTACTGATATGTGCCTAAGACACTGGTCCCCAAAACCTCTCTTTGGGGAAATGAGAAAAACAGAATCTCAGGAGGAATGGTCTAGAGGAAAGTCCTGTTCTTAACAAGTCCTCCTCAAGAAAAACCACTAGTTCAAGAAAACAATGCTTTTCATCTACTCCTGATCCTAGTATTTTCTCTCCAACTATGCCTATGACTCTAACTCCATCCCAATTGCTGGTATCTTTTGTGAAACTCTACCAGCCCTTTCCTGGGAGACCCCGTACAGCAGATTTAAAGTTATCCTTGGTTCCCTTCCTTTCTCCCTACTTAGCTGAAACCTGCTCTTAGAGAGACCAGAAAAGCCCACCTTTTCCTCCACTGTACCTGAATCTCAAACTAACGAGCAGGGCCTGCACATTTATATTCCTCACTTAGACACTCAAGCAACTCTCCCTTTGGCTTCACTCAGCCTTTTCTCTAGGAGCAATTCAAGAAAACCTTACTATATGGAGGGAGAAGTGGGACCTTGGAACTCTCAAGAGGGCAATTCTCCCCAAATTGACCCATAGGTTTAATACAATGTGTATCAAAATCCCGGCAGCCCTTTTTGTAGAAATTAATAAGCTGGCTCTAAGATGTGTACAGCAATGCACAGGACCCAGAAAACCCAAAACATGTTTTTAAAGAATAACAATGTTGGAGGACTTGTGCCATCTGATTTCCAAACTTCCTATAAAGATATAATAATCGACAGAATGTGAGACTGATGTGAGGATAAACAAAGACATTGATGGAAGAAATTTAAGAAGACATAAATAGATGGAAGGAGATCTCATTTTCATAGAGTGGATAAACGAACAAGTTGTTAAAATATCCATACTGCTCAAAGCAATCTACAGATTTATGCAATCCCTATGAAAATTTCAATGATGTTTTTCACAGTAATAGAAA